AGCAGATGCTTCCGTGTCAGTTTGTGGTGGACCACACTCTTTTACCAGACACTTAGTGGTTGGCTTGTCACTCATCTAATATGTACAGGCACAAATTTTCACTCTTGTTTAAATGTCCATTCCAGTGTGAAGAAGTGAACCCACTGACACTTCTTTTCCAACTCCACAGGAGGGTTCAGTCTCAGACTTAGCGCCCCTGGCTCTCTTCCAGATTTCACCCTCTCCTACACATCTGACTCGGCTGATTTGAGGAAACTAACTACATCCGTGTGGATGACCTCTAAACACTGCTGCAAGGTGAGGGAGACCGGAGGGTTCCGGAGCGAAGACACTTACCCGTCTGTTCTAACCAGAGGACGGTGCAGTCAATGAATCACACTACAACGACACACGCACACACACACACAAATGAATAGACAATACATGTAAAATACAACTCATTTAAGGCAAACAATTCTTGTATACACTGATTCAGAGTGCTCTGGTGGGTAAGTCTGGCATATCACTTTTTTTCCAATAACTCTTCACTTCAAAACAAAAAATCTACATAAAACTCTGCGATTGAAGATGTAACTTTCAGCTGTCCAGTGAAAGGAGATAACTGTCAGTCTGGCAAAACTGGTTCTATTTTGTCGCCGGCGCTTGACACGTGGCCGTTGAACGACAGCCAGTTTGTTGTTTCCTTTTCACTAAGCAAATGTACGAGTTGTGAGGGATTTGAAGAGCCGAGAGAAGAAGAAAGAGAATGAGAGCGTAGAACCGGTTTACGATTTTGATTGACGGAAACCGAGAAATAGAGAACGACAGAGAGCGCTGACCAGTGCTTGTGTGAAAGTTGATTCTGCGCTCACGGCTACGGAGGAGAGTGCAGAAGGCCTCTGAGTGTGGCGTAAAGTTTGGTGTTGCCATCTCAACAGAATATAGATTGCACTGTTCCCACGGAAACCAAATTTAGCATATACGCATATAATATTTAGTTGCACTTTGATAATCTGCCAGGGTGAAGGGAGTGAAGTGTATTGTAAAACTGATCTCTTTGTATTTTATGTGATTTTTTGGGAAATAATGGTGCATGATCTTTGTCAACAGGTTCACAGATTTGATGTGTTTGTGATTTTTTTTTGTTTTTCTTGTTAACAATTTTTTTGCTTGTGAAGTATATTCTCTAGTCTGAAGTCACTTGATGATACAGGAATAGTCTTCATAGCTTGACTCTGTAGTATCTTCTGTGCTCATAGCTGCATTCCGTCTCCAGGTCCCAGCACGTCACAGCTGCAGTGGCCGATAGGCGAAGCACCGGACGGCTCCAAGGCCCCATTGTCTCTTCCGACAGCCAGCCAGCAGGGGGCTCACTCCCTGGGCTCAGACCCCCACACACACCCGCGAACCCCTTACATCCACTCATTCATCTCACGGATCTCTCAAGTTTATCTCCCCCTTTTCCCTCCTTCATCTCCCCTTAATTTCTACTCTGTGGTACCAATGCATTGTTTTTGGAGAGGCTTAGACGATGACAGGATGACGTATTTTCCCTGCTAGCAAATCTCTTTCAGTCCAAGGTTTCCGTTGTGTGAGGTTTTTCCTCCTCTAAGTGCCTCTGTGTTGTCTTTGAATTGGAGTGTTGATTTTATTTGGATATTGTTTCTATTTGTCTTGCCTACTGTATGGTTTTACCTCTTTTGTATTGTGTGTGTGGTGTGTGTGTGTACCTGTGTGTTGTTGTGTGGTTGGGTGACCTGCTGTGTCGCTGTGCCTGCTTGTGATGTGTGTGTGTGATTCGTGTGTGTGTGTGTGTGGTGTGTTGTTGTTGTGTGTTTCTGCCGTTGTGTGTACTGTGCTGTGTGTGGTGTTGTGTACCTGGTGTGTGTGTGTGTACTGTGTGGTGTGTGGTCCAAATGTAGTCTGTTGAGGGTTATTCTCCCGAGCACCGTAGAGCACAGATCTCACACCGGTCATCAGGAGCGTGAAAGAATGACGGATCGAGCCAGTTGGCGTGTTGCCTGCAATGCCCAGAGTGGTACGACACCACACAATCCTGTCACCTGGTGCACCCAGACACGTCCTGGGTGGGGACGGGGGCCACAAAAGTTTCAGGTTCAAAGTCTTTTAAACACCTGCACCAGACCGCCTGTATCACTCTTCATATCTCATATTACATGAGAGCTTACACCATGACCTGTGGTGTGTGAAACAGGGAAAGATCATATTACGATAGTGGTAATGTACCTCGCGGGGGCCCGGAAGCAAGCACACCGCCTGCCACGCCCAGTCCCTGCGTGGGATACCGGTGGTGGGTGGTCCGCATCCTCGATGATGATGAAAGGGGAGAACGGTTGCTGAGAGCAAGCAGATATGAGTAAATATTAATCGCTTCCATTCCTTACAGTTTGAAGTTTAAGGGTTTCCTGAAATGTTCACTGAAGTATTTAAGGGTTTTTTTTCTCATGCTTGGTCTCATACTTAAGGGAATCATTAGAGTCGTTAAACTCACGGACCGGGAGAACTTGATGGACACTTCCATCAGGAACTGATTTTGTAGCATTATAGATTTTTGATTTGGCTCGGCAGAAAATGGAAGCTGGTAGGATTTTACCACGTTGAAATCCTGAGCGACTAGGAGAAATTCAACCTGTCAGGGTCAACTAAAGGAGAAGGACTGTTAGGTGTTTTTGTTGCAAACACGGGCTCCAGGGTTTCTGAACCTGGATTCTGGGATCAAGATGAAGGTGACTTTGGACAGCAGGAGGCGGAGCTGGAGGCGAGCTGTTCCTCCAGTATCACTGTGATAAACTGTGTGTGGTAGTTATCATTAGGACTCAATAAAAGAAGAAACTGTTGAGACTGTGATGAATGTGATGTGTGGAACTTAAAGAAGCCTCTAGTGGCCATTAACTGGTGCTGCAGCCTTAAACTCCACAGGTTTTATTTACTGAGCTGGAATATCTGACGTGTTTTTTATTTATTACTATTATTATTATCATTATTATAGAATATATATATATATATATAAATAATATATATATATATATATGATATATATATATAATGTAACAGAAGAATGAACATGAAGAGATTTTTGGCCAATGGATCAGTTTGTTCTTCCTCTTAATTATTCATTCACCTCTGTGGTTGTGTGTGTGTGTGTGTGTGTGTGTGTGTGTGTGTGTGTGTGTGTGTGTGTGTGTGTGTGTGAAGAGAGAAACATCTGTGTACCCATCTAAAACACACACAACACATTTAATGGAGGCCGTGGCCTTGATGCAGTATTTTCTGTGAAGCCGTTTCACACAAACAACTGTCAATCTGTGTCACTGGTGACTTACAACACACACCAACACACACACACACCACACAAACCATAAAACCTGTCTAATCCTCAACCTGCAACATCCTCTGTACACTTAAACATCTTCTTCAGTCAAACATCTGTATTTAAATGGATCAGAGTCTCTCCAGATGCTGATGTTCAGTCTGCTTTTACATGAACTACTGCTGTTTGTCACTGGGGGCACTCACATACAACACACACACACACACACCGACGCACGCACGCACGCACGCACGCACGCACGCACGCACGCACGCACGCACGCGACGCCGCACGCACACACACGACACAACACAACACACACACACACACACACATAATAATGATAATAATAATAGTAATAAATAATAAACACGTCAGATATTCCAGCTCAGTAATAAAACCTGTGGGTTTAAGGTGCAGCACCAGTAATGGCCACTAGAGGGCTTCTTTAAGTTCCACACATCATCACAGTCTCAACAGTTTCTTCTTTTATTGAGTCCTAATGATAACTACCACACACAGTTTATCACAGTGATACTGAGGAACAGCTCCGCCTCCAGCTCCGCCTCC